GAGAGAGAGAGAGAGAGAGAGAGAGAGAGAGAGAGAGAGAGAGAGAGAGAGAGAACTTCTTGGATGCCTAGGGGTGTCAGAGTATGCTGTTCCTGCTGTTCCCCCGGCGGCGGCCTTGAACTCCTAGGCTCCAGAGCTGCCCATAGCTCAGCTTCTGTCCTCAGGCACCACTGTGCCTGACTCTGCTTGGCACATCTAGTTTCCTTTCGGCCAGCCCACTGGTGAGTAGTTGAACTTGACGCTTTGAAGGAGTTAACTTTGGACTTGTAGACGCTATGAAGTCTGTCTTTGTAGGTTGCCCAGAGGAAAATTCAGGAGATTCTGAATCAGGTGAAGCAGCACCAGCAGCAGAAGGCCCTGCAGAGCGGACCCCCTCAGTCAAGGCGGAAGTAAGGGCTCAGGAGACAGCCACCACAGAGGCAGATGCCAAACCAAAGACAGATTTGCTTAACCAACAGACGGGTCTGACCCATCCAGAATCACATGCGCGAGTATTTCCCTAGCCGGTTGTTCTGAGGACCAGGCAACACAAACTCCTGTCTCTGTGAGAATGTATACTTTATGCTCTCTGAAATGTATGACACCCAGCTTTAAAAAAAAAAAAGAAAAAGAAAAAAAAAAGTGGGGGTAGGGAAAGAGAACTCGGCACTTCCCTTGTGATATCAAAGTCTCACAAACGTGCTAATTTCTAACATCCTCCATAATGCCAGAAATTGGCATAAATGGTACATTCACTAAATTCATCAAATAAATCAGAAAAAATAGATTGTTCCTAAGTCCAATTGTCGAAATTGGATCCAAGTAGAATTACCACAGGAACACGATGTTAAGCCATTAGAGTAGAACTGTCTTTCCTGTTTCTCTAACACTAACGAGGATAACCTAAGGGAAGTGCTGACCGCTGTTGGCGGGGTATTAAGCGTGCATTTTTACTCAACTACCTCAGGTATTCAGTAATACAGTTAAAAGCAAAATTATTCCTTTTTTGAAAATTTTATATACTTTATAAAGAAACTCCAACCGTTTTTTAAAAAAAATAAAATTTAACAGTTATCAGCTGATAGGCAAATAATTGAGAGAGGAATTTTACGTCTGGCTGGTGACAGTCAAGTTGGAGAATGAATTTTGCATTTTTTGAGCCTTTTGACAGTAGTTGGAAAGTCCGGTCATGTTCAAAGATGCAGAGCAGTGCCTGTTCTCGGAGAGCAGCAAACTCATGTGCTCCTTTGTCTCTAGTTGGGAAGGTTGCTGGGACCAACAGCAGAGTGGTGGCAGGTTTTGGAATGGCTAGTTTAAAGAGCTTCAGAAGACTTGGGATTTGTTTGGCTATGTGCGTGAATGCATAAATGCTTTGTGCTCCGTCACACACTATTGACAAAGCATGTCAGTGATGGAATGCAGAATCTACACAAAATCAGCTTACGAACACACTTGAGATCAGGCGATGCTTGGGGGGGCCAGGGGGTCAGGTGTGACCGTGAAGGCAACTACAGGCTCTTCTGTCTCCTGGGGCCGGCACCGTCACGAGCCTGACGAGGCCACCTGGAAGATGTTTTTGAAGCAGGGACAGTCAGTCCACCGAAACTACTCCAAGGACTGTAACAGGCTTCTGCCTGCCCTGCTCCCCTGATAGGACATCCAGGTAGGGAGTGCAGCAAATGGTTCTGGGAAGAGGACTGTGGAGCCATCTGATGGTTGAAGCAAACCCTGTATGGACACTTGTGGGTGGTCCTCAAGGCCATGCTGCTCTCTGAAATTGTTACTTTGTTCA